AGAGAGAGAGAGAGAGAGACCCTGAGCTGTTGCGCGCGTGCGCGCGCGCGAGAGAGAGAGAGACAGAGAGAGAGAGAGAGAGAGAGGTGCGCGCCGGGGAGTGGAGGGAGGACCCCTCCCCCACCAACCAATCAATCAATCAATCAATCAATCAATCAATCCATCAATCAATCAATCAACCAACCAATCAATCAACCAACCAATCAATCAATCAATCAATCAATCAACCCCCAAATATTTTTTTTATTATTTTTTTAAACACAAATATCCTTTTTTTTTTTCTTTTTTTTTTCAGATCTGAAGGTACGGGGGTGTAGAAGGACCCCGCACCACCCCCCTCCCGCCCCGATAGCGACCACACCGCCGTCCACGTGGGTGGAAATGACGTGAACGGCCGTTCACGTTTTTCAGGCCCGGTGTCCGGCCGGTCACGTTCATGTGACCGGTGTCGGTCACGTTCATGGGACCGGCACTGGTCTCCACTCCTATGTTGACGTAGTAGTAGGGAACATGCCTGTCATTGTACCGTCGGAAATACAGACCTTCAGTTGGGCCATCTAAGACTGGGTCATAGGGCTTATACCAAGTGGGTCCAGCTCTTCCATGCGTGGTCGAGTTCGGAGCCATTCCCAAGGACCTTCTTCCCGAGGACATCTCTCCTCTTCTTTACGTTCCCATCTCGAGGGGTCAGCACCTCGCCATGCTCCGCCCATCCAATCAATGTCCCTACTCACCATCTCATCCGAGGCCCAAGCAAGCTTGGCCTCCGGGTCGGCCCACCGGTGCGTGCCTCCGATTGCTTCTGTCATCTGCTCTTCTAGCAACTCTTTTCCCCTGCAGCCCCCCTCCTCATTTCTCCGGGGTCCCCGACCACTTGCCCTATCGTGTGCCGTCCCTAGGCCTCCTTTGCCCCCGTCTTCCGCATCTATCTGATCAGCGCACCGAGTTTCGACGGGGATTCCCCTCATGGCGTCCGATACTCTACCTCTGGTCGGTAATCGGGACTCCAAGTCCCTATGCAAATGCATCTTGGTATCCACCTTTTGCCTAGCGGAGACGTCCTTTTCCTCAAGAGTCCGTTCCGTACTCCGCTCATCCCTATCTCTAAGGCCCACTGTTTTTGCTATTCCCCCACTTTCCTTACTCAATCTTATTCCTAGCTCCGCCCCTTCTTTCATCCTTAGAACATCCGTCAACCAGGCGACTGTGAGTGTTTGGGTTCAACCTCACTCTCCATGCACCCAATTGTTTCCCTCTACTCACTTTCCCCGCTAGTGTCCGTACCTTCCTGGCCGCTGCTACCTCCCTCCGAGTTCCTTTTTTCCTCACTCGTCGTTCTCTCGGGTCGCTTTCTGTCGAATCTTCGCTTGTCACGGTCTACCAGGAGTCTCGTACCAATTTTTCTTTGTAGGACGGCAGTGCCAAGTTCCCGATTTCTAGATTCGGTACGTTCCTAATTCCTTCCTGGGAACAACGCCTTATCAAATCCCTATCTACTTTGCCTGCCTGTCCTAGGAATAGGGGCTTAATGAGCTCCCCTACTCGCGCCCACCGAAGTCCGTATCACTTGGAGACTCCTAGCACCGGATGAACAACTCGTGCCCTCCTGTCTCTCCCAACGAGAACTTCTCGATTACCCGTCCTCTATTTAAGACCTTTCTAACCGCTGAGCGATAAACCCATATGGGGATTTCCCAGGTCCAGCCTTGTGTCGCCTGAGGAATCTCTTGCCGCCCCCTGTATTCGACCCGGTCTAGCACATGTTCCCTTGAGGAAGCTCCTCCCAACCTTCTAAGCCGGTCTAAGACCCTCTTTGCAAGTCCTAAGGGATCCTTCCCTTCTGCTAGCTCGGTCATGAAGAGTTGCCTATCACTCTCAGAAAGAAAGATTTCAGCTCGCCGCGTTCTGAGGTTTCCCTCGGAGACCTTTGAAAAACGAATCACTAATTTTTTATCGTATATTTCAAAGAATTCGGTAGTCGTCGTTCCCTTGGTGCTAACTTTTGGGAGAGTTACTTCGTACCTCCCTCCCAATCTCCAAGCTCGTTCTAGGATCCCGACGAGGTTTCCTCGTTCATATCTAATCATCGACGATTCACCTCACCCTGGCCAATCTCTCGGCCGTCGTGGCAAAGTAATCTTCACACTTCCTTCGAGCGTCGACACCTCCCCCGCTTAGCACCTGCTGCAGAGCTTTTTCGTATTCACCCGACCTATCCCAAAACCGAGCCTCTTTTAAGTGTAATCTTGCTTCAAGCGGCACACCTAAGCTCCTAGCGTCTTCCTCGAACCTCCGTTCAACCTCCAGTAGCGGTTCTCTCCACTCTCTTGAGAAGTGGTCCCCCCTAACTCCCCTATGGTGATTGAGAATTTTGCCAACACTGTCCAAGGCCTCCTCTTGCACAGAGCAAGCCTTCTGGCCTCTACAAGGAACTCCTTTTTTGCTCTAGAAGCCGGGCCTTCCCGAAATCCGACTACAAATTCTATTGTCCCCTCTACCTTTACCTCCGGGCTGTCGTCTCGAGTCTCTGGTTCCCAATTTATCAGGCCTGATGAAAAGCTAGCTCTCATGCCTGTCTGTCCTCCGAGAGCAGCTCCTCCTTTTGTTCGTCAAAGATCCAGATGGTTGCTATTTCAAGAGCCTTAATCCTGGCCCAGGAGCTAGGTCTACCCCTTCTCTGCTCTTCCCAGCAAAGGGTTAGGATCCTAGAAAGTTTCACCCTCACCCTATCCAGGCCTGCTAGTCCCGGATCGTTAGGCTCACTCATGCCTAAGGCTCCTTCGCTTGCAGGAATGACTATGCGAATGAGCTCTGAAGGGTCGAGGTTTTCCAACCCAGTCTCACAAATCTCACCAATGTACCTCCACGAGATCGTCGAGCTGCTCATGTGCTGGCCCCAACCTTCAAATGCATATCCCAGGTTGTTCAACCAGGACCAGTCGTTATGACTCAGGTTTTGAAGGCACCACGTCAAGAGGACATGTAAGTCTGAGTCCGTAAAGCGAAACCGGTTAAGAATCTCAATCGTTCTTCCCACTGCCTTTTTAGCAGTCTCAGAGGGGTAGATTCTCTCGAAGATGAACCTGGGTACCTCCACCACGTGACCGGCAGCAAAACCCGGGATCCAGCGTATGTCACCCGGTATGCGATTCGACACCCTCTTCGTAGCTCTACCTCGTTAACTAGCTCCTCTAATCTGGTTCTAACGGCCTGCTCGTGCCAAAGTCTAAAACAAATATGAAAGTCGCGGCCGCACCCAACCATGGTCGGAGCCGCGACGACCTTGATCACGGTCATCCTCCTCGCTCGACCCCGCGGACGCGTCCGCGGGTGTTTCGTAGGCTCGTACGCGCCCCTCTCTCCGCACACCTGAAAACATAAGACGGGAAGATGGCTTGGACGCAACCTGTGGCTCGGGGGTATTCCCTATCTCGAGCACAAGTCACCCGAAAACGGATCAGGAGTCGCCGCGTCGGTGCTGAAGAGGTGCTTGCTCAAAAAAATGCCTCAAGACAGGCTTAGCACGAGCCTCCTGATAGTCTGTCCGAAGGCACCCTAAAACCCAATTGACGACGTAGTCTACCCAGGACTCCTGGCTCAAGTAGATTGTTCCTTCAGCGAGGACTTCAGCTTGTCGGCCTCTCCTCTCGTTTGCTGGTCTATTCCGGGTACACTGAACTCCTACCTAAATCCCTACAGCGAACGGAGCCCAAAGAAAACCCCCTTTTTCAAGCTCGATACCCCTCTCGTGTCCGACCAAGTATCTTTCGGTGCGATGGTCCAAAGGATCATTGAAACCCTCCCACTCCTTCAAGTCGTGGAGGTCGGCCTTTTCGATTTTAACCCCGTCGTTTCCTATTTCTTTTACAATTCTAGCCATGCCCTACCTCTCTCCTCCGCCAGCCTGCCTCTGAACTACCTCTTCGATGATTGCTGCTAACACCTCCCAATCATCTGACCCGTCAAGATAGGCGTCGAGTATAACTCGCGTCGACCTCGAGCCTCGCGCATAAGTCCGGTAGCCTTGCGCGTAGAAATACCTGATCCCGTAACTCCCCAGCAATACCCTCTCCAACCGTGAATGGCCAACTGCTTCTTTCCAGCTACATATGAAATCTTCCCCTTGATCTAACCCTTCTTCTACATAGAGAGTTATATCAAAGTCTCGTGTCCACAAAAAAAAGGTATAACACCACACATCTACGTCTCTGTAACTGCCCACACTGATGCCAGCTGGCTCAACCTCTAGAACTCTCAAGCTCATAGATCAAGATTCGTGAGAAACTAGTCCTACCCTCCACCTGTTTGCCTTTGCACTGTCTCCGTGATGATTTCCACCAACGCTTTCCAACTGTCTGAACCGTCAAGATAGGAGTCAGGTATCACCGGCGCCAGGCGTATGCCACTGGCATAGGTTCGGTAACCTAACACTTAAAAATACTTAAACCTGTAGCTCCTTAGTTCCTCGCTTTTCCACCGTGAGTGACGAACTACGTCTTCCCAACTACGAAGAAAATCTTCCCCTTGATCCTGCCCTTCCTCCACGTCAGGGTTGTCGACCCCCGGCCCCGGGACCCCGCCGGGGTTCCGGGGTTCCGGGGGTCGGCACCCGGGACCCTGGCCCCCTGTACGGCGAAAAAAAAAAATAAAAAAAAATCGAAAAAAAAAAAAAACAAAAAAAACAGAGGGGGGTGCGCACCGCCGACGTGCAACCCCTGACATTTTTTGTGTCCTGCAAAAACTGCCCCGACACGGGGTCCCCCCCGGGGGCGCGGACCTCCCTTGGCGGGAGCGGGGATGTGCTGGCGGGCATG